GGCTGGGCTCTCTGGGGGGGGCCAGCGGCCTGGCTGTGACACGGGTCTGACCCCAGGAAAGGCAGGGGAAGAGCCAGCCAGCCCCATCAGCGCAAGTGGAGGGCGGGGTTCCTGGGCCCAGAAGCAGCTTCATTTTACTGCAAACCTGCTTCTCCAGCTAGGCTGAGCCCTCGCGCCCCCTGCACGCACTGCAGATGCCTCGTGTTTAGTGTCCACACGGCCAGAGCGACAGGCCCGACAGCAGAGCTCGGTGGCGTTCTGGCTTCAGTTCTGGTTCGGAACACAAGAACGGCCACACTGGGTCAGCCCAAAGGTCCATCCAGTGCCAGGTGTCCCAGAGGGAGTGAACAGAACAGGGAATCATCCAGTGATCCCTCCCCTGTCGCCCATTTCCAGCACCTGACAGAGGCTAGGGACACCATCCCTGCCCATCCTGCTTGGCTTATAGCCGTTGATGGACTTGGCCTCCAGAATGTATCGAGCTCTCTTTTGAACCCTGTTAAGGGCCTAGTCTTCACCACATCCTCTGGCGAGGAGTTCCACAGGTTGACCATGCACTGCATGAAGAAAAACTTCCATTTGTTTGTTTTAAACCTGCTGCCTGTTCGTTTCACTTGGTGGCCAGTGTTCTCTCTAAGCGGGGCTGCAGCACTGCTGCCTGTTCATTTCATTTGGTGGCCAGTGTTCTCGCTAAGCGGGGCTGCAGCCCAGCTTCACTGGCCATTAGTTAGCCCCACCCACTCAGTCAGCTGGGTGCAGAGCCCTGAGCCTCTGGCTGGGCGGGGCTCATTCATCACCTGTGAAGCTGGGCTGTCCCCCATCGTAGAGGGAACGCTGTGGGTGACCCCCAGTTCTTATGTGGCAGGCACAAGTAAACAACTTTTCCTGAGTCACTTTCTCCCCACCCATCATGATTTTATCAACCTCTATCCGATCCCCCGAGTCTCCTCTTTTCCAAGCTGAAAAGTCCCCATCAAGTCCTTGCCTAGCTCCCAGAGATCTGCTCGTGCAGCCAGGAAGGGATGCGATTGGGTTCTTCCTGAGCTGCCGGCTACCAGGGCTTGGCTCAGACGCCTCCTCCCAGGGCGCCTCACTCCAGTCCCCATTTCGGTCACTTACCAAGTTAGTTTCCTGCCTCCTTTTACGGGGCGGTGGCTTTGTCTCGTGGCCAGAGCTGCTGTGTGGGAGCCAAGAGTTTCTGAGCTGCCTCCCTCTCCCGGCTGGGCCGCAGCAGCCCTCGGCATGCGACTACCTGGCGCTTTCCCTCTCTCTCTGCAGGACCACGCTGGTGCTGGAGAACCTGGAGGACTCCTGGCTCCTGAGCGGCCCCGATGACTCTCTGTCGGACAAGCACGGCTGCCCGGCCTATGTGGGCCCAGAGATCCTGAGCGCCAAGAACTCTTACTCGGGGAAGGCGGCAGCTGTGTGGAGCCTGGGCGTGGTGCTGTACACGATGCTGGTGGGGCGCTACCCCTTCCTGGACACTGAGCCAGCCACGCTCTTCAGCAAGATCCGCCGGGGGTTCTTCTCCATCCCGGAGGGCCTCTCGCCCCAGGCCAGGTGCCTGATCCGGTGCCTTCTGCGCAAGAACCCGTCCGAGAGGCTGACGGCCCGTGGCGCCGCCTCCGAGGACTCGTGCACAAACGCTTCGGGGGAGCGGGGGCTGGAGCAAGTTGTGCCAGACACCTGGAGCCAGAGGGACGAGGAGGAGGAGGACGACGACCCGCACGGCTAGGCAGTCATAGGATCCCCATGGATGCATCGGCACAGGGCCCTCCATGCCCCAGGCGAGCCGGGCTGGGGCCCCGCCG